CTTTTCATATCTATAGCTGAAATTTCGTAATTGTTATAATGTTTTTAGAGAGGTTTTAATATTATTTTTGAAATATCTTGGAACCTTTTGTCTTCTTTCTTCCTTTACTAAAAGGTTAAGATTTTTTTTGTCCTATTTCTCGTTAATATTCGATGAAAATGGTCATGTTAGTATGCATTACACAAAACAAATGACAAGTTATGCAACCCTATTACATGCACCAGTGTTATATATTTTAATGTCTATCATTATTTAACTATATAAAGTTTATTGAACCTAAATACTGATACTAATTTTGTCATTAATGCTAATGTAGGATTCTTTTTAGTATTGACTCTCATTTCTCATAAAATATATTGAAGATTTTCTTGAACCACTCACTGGACACTTACTGTTGAGAATTAAAATGCCAAATTCTCTCATTTGTGAACTAAAAATAAGCAATATCATGAAGTAAAAGGAAAAAAAAAATAATGTAGTTAATAAAAAATTAACACAATGATTTTTTATGTGAAAAAACATTGTGATGCAAGTAAGGAAAAGTGAAACCTAATTTATTAAAAAAATTATTGAGGAAGTTTCATTACTCAAAATGATCATTCTATATATTTTACTTAATTAAGAGTGTAATACTCATTATGATCACAACACTAAATGGTTCATTGGCTAACAGTAGAAAGATGTAAAACTTAAAATTATATGTCTAATGGTATTTGAACATGTACTATATATATTCATATGAATGTAAAACTATATAAACATGTGATATAAATATAATAATTAAATAAAAGTAAATTATACAACATAAATTGTCGATTAAGTAATTTTTATTATCAACTAACTACTTAAAGGTTTACAAAATATCAACATTGTCAATATCAAACTGGCCTCCAAAACAACTCTCCCAAAAACCTATATTTACTCTGTTCTCATACTAAGTACAATCATTACAATCCATCCACGTGGAAATATGCAATAATAAGTTAGAGCTTTATAAGAACAACGTCTATACAATACAATACATCAGCAACATTAATATATCAACACATCTTCACTATACCTTCAACACTATCAATATATAGCATCACAACACAACCAACATATATCAACATAAACAACTCAATCTACTACAACACATTATCAACTTAAACATCACTACATCAACAACTCAGATTTTTCATCACAATAACACAATATGTACAACACAACAACTATATGTGTTGTTACACATTTCAACTAGAATATCTTATACAACACAATATGAACAATTTAAGTAACTTGACCCCATCAAACTAACAACACAAGATGATCTTTTTTGCTTGCTAGATCAACAACAAATTGGATATCAATCCATAACACAACAACTTGGTTTTTTAGATGTCACCACTTAAATAAAGAAGTATAGTACTACTGTTAGCGTTGAACAACTTGGTATGAAACTACTATGACATTAGCTAAATTAACTAAGTCTCCTATAGGATTAGTTCATTGACTACCCTTTAAATACTACGTCCTTCCGATACTTAATTAAGAACTAAGTTATCGACTTCGTATTTTACTTAGTTGATCACTTGTAATCAATGTAGCTTGACTTGATTCCTATAATGTGATTGTGTTATACACATGTGTCTTAACCTTGCATACACACGGTACCAACTAAGGTCTTAGAAGAGACTCGACTATCCTCTTCAAGGGTCAATTTCCCAATAAAGGTTTTCAACAAAGTTGGGCTATTGGGGCACCATAAGACAATATTCACATAATGGGATATGTGACTTTAAAAACAGCATCTTCCCTAGTCTTAAGTTAACCAACATAGTTTTCAACACCATGCCTAAATACCTAAAGTTTTCGCGGCATTCATCATCTCACCGACACAACAACATCATGCTTAAAGCATATACAACACAACTACACCACCAACACACAACATACAACTTAACTTACTTTCAACTATTAACCATCAATCATCTCTAATTACAATCATATATCAACACATATATAATAATCAATGTTTTACAACTTAAAACATGTAATAAATTAATCTATTGTACTTATGTTCACAAGTTGTGAAATTAAAGAACTAGTTTTCATCAAGCAACCAAGGCTCGACGCCACACACCTAGTGCTTGGTGTCATCGAGGTAGGTAACTCTCTATCTCAGTCATGCTTGATGCTACACAACTCATGCCTAACATGGATGAGGTAAAGGCCCTTGGGACCTTAGGCCCAAAGTGACAAAGTCATACGCCATACCTCATTTCAAGTAGGGAGTCTCTCCCTGCCTCACGTCTATCATCACCATATTGACATTCGACATCGTTTAAGCAGTGAGTGCTGACTTGGCCATGTTGGGCGCCAATCCAATAAGGCCTGATGTTACCAAGTCAAAAACCTCCTAGTGCTCCCATGTTCGACGTCATTCAAAGCACGCCCAACATCATTTTAACCCTAGACGAGTCTCTCTCCTCACATCCAACGCCACCAATCTTGCACTCGACCTGACAAGACAAAGAGCTTCATGTTGAAATCGTGCTCAACACAACATAGGTCCTTCACTTATGTAGATCACAAATTCTGCTCAACCCACCTAAAACTTAGCAACTTCCAAGCATCCAACACTGTCAATCAGCTATATACATCATGACCAACATATAAATGCACTCAAAATCAACATGTAACAACTATAAATCAAATCACCGTTTTCATTTCAACATGTTTCCCAACTCAAAATCCTAAACTTGGATTATTCCACTTAAAATCATGCAACTCATATTGAAATCAACCACAACAATACAACAACTTCACAATGTCAAGAATTTCCAACTTCTCTTACCTTGAAAGTGAAGTGAACTGAGGGAGGAGAACAAGAGAGCTCCGAATAATTCACAACACAACTCCAAACGGATCAAAACTTGGTTTAAGGTTCTTAATGATCTAAATCACAAACAAAACAACTTAGGTGAGATTCTAGGAAGAAAATCACCTCACCAAATAAGGTTATGAGAAAAAAAAGACTCATGGACCAAAGTATTTTTCTCTAAAACTTTTTCTCTCGAGATTTTTGAAGAATGAAACTCATGAAACTCAATTATTAAAAAAAAAACTTATGTACCTTTTTACTTGTGGTCAGACTAACCTTTATCTTAAGAAACCTTCAACAGTACTTAAACTCATAAGAAATCATCAAATTTTAGAATTCTCCGATACAAAACAACACTTCATCACACACAACCAACATATAATTAAAATAATTAGGACATTTTACAACTCACAGTGCTACAAAAAGCATCACAAACCTTCAAATTTTACCTTGATTTTTGTTCATAAAAAATATTTTTGTCACATTAACGTGAGTTATTAATCAATCTTCTCCCCTAATCTAATATTTTTTTAAAATGTCAAATATATTTTTAGTTTTTTTAAAATATTTAAAAATGTTATTTTTTTCATAATTTTTTAATATATATTTAATCCTTATATTTTTTTAAAAAACATGTCTTTTTTTTTACTCTAATGAGAAATTAAAGCCAAGTCAGTTTTAATAAATATATGAAAAAAATATAGAAACTAAAATTAATATTTTAAAATATTATGAAAATAAAATTATATTTTATTCTTTTCAAAATGAAACTTGTATAATTGTGTAAAATCGTTCCCACAATTATGAAACAATATCTAATATAAATATTATTTTTACTAAATACACGGTCCATCTAAATTTTATAATTTTTATTTGCAAAAATACTTAAAGTATTTATAATATACACAAATGAAATAACTCTTTCATGTAAAACTTCCTCCAATAAATTTTCTTCTAATATTTCTCTCCCATAAATCTATCCTAAATATTTATTCCCTCTAATATCTTCCTTCAATTTTGTCCTAAATATTTATTCTCTCTAATAATTTTTTCTTAAATATTTTTTTATATATAAATAAATATGATTATAAAATAAGTTATTGTTGAAAATAATTACAAAAATAAATATATCATAATTGCTACTAAACATATTTTAAAAAATAGATATATCAAAACAAATATATTAAAATAAAAAGATAATTTTAAATAAAAATATTTTAATAATTATGAAATGAGGATCACTATCTTATGCAAAAATATTT